CCCTCCCTCTCTCCCACCCACACACCCGTCCCCTCTCTCTCTCTGTCTCGTATGCATGAAGCGATTGCGTCGGGTTATGACATCGTCCCGACATCCCACCCACACACCCACGCCAAATACACATGTACGACACGCAACACCATGTATCCCATCCCCCGCGCCGCCCTGCCGTCAGGCCCGCCCCCTCCCTGACCCTCCGGGCGGTGTGCGGCTGCCCCCGGACCTCTGACGCGTGACAGGCGGAGAGCGCCGGGGGGTCGCACTGGCCGCCGCTGCCGCCTGCTGCTGCTGCTGGGTGAAGAATGGGTGCTGGAGGGCATCTGATGCACTCAGACGAGAGAACGGCGCGCGCAACAACCTGAGAAGCCAGAAACAGTAGCACAGAGACAGTTGCGTTTCACTGTGCCTGGCTGTGCCCCACTTCCATCCTCACTTTGACAGCAGGTCCAAGACGTGGTTCCAGTCAGAGTGCTTGTTGGGCATGAGGATGTTCTTGCTGTGGCGGGCGAATTCAGGGTTGATGCGGTCGGCGGTGCGCTTGCTTCTGATGCGATCGGCCAATCGCCAGGAGATGTCCATAAGGGATCTTGTGGGTGGCAAATCGCTGAGCGTGGTTTTGTGGAGCCCTGCCTGGCGCCCCCTGCTGATGATCGCACCAATGATGTCTTGCCACAGGGCATCGGTGGGCATGCCCACGATCTGGAGGGTCTGGATGAGCATGTGGTCGAAGTTCATTGGGTCGGGGCGGGTGACGAGGTGGTCGCCCGTGGCGAGGTAGTAGAGCGTCCCGCCGACCGCCCACATGTCCAGCTTCTTGAGGTTGTGGCTGATCGTGCGGCTGACCACCTCACGGTGCCCTTGGTCCACATCTACGGTTAGTTGCACAAACACAAGATACATACATCCACACTAGCGTCTCTTTCATTCCTTCCATGTGCGCTCTCCTTCTCACCTTTTTGCTTTTCCATGACCCGCGCCAGGAAGGCTTCCGGTGCGAGATACTCGGGGGTGCCCAGTTTGTCCACACGGAATAGGTGGCCGGGCCGGTGGGCCATCCCGAAGTCAGCCAGTCGCAGCTTCTTGTCGTACGCAATGAGGACGTTGCCAGGCTGAAACAAAACGACACACACACACACGCCACACCAGTCAGTTCACGGTCCTGTCCATCTTGTCTGGTCTATTCTTCTGTCTTCTCACCTTGATGTCCAGGTGCAGCGTCTCGTTGGTGTGGCAGTGCACGAGGCCCTCCAGGAGCTGCCGGCCGAAGTCGCGCAGCTGGTCGACGGGCAGTCCGAAGGGACAAGGACTGCCGTCCTTGTCGATGTACTGGCTGAGCGTCTCGCGGCACAGCTCCATGACCATGTGGGTAAGGTCGACGGGGGCGCCCGGCTCGAGCATGGAGTGATGTATCTTGACGATGTGTGGGTGGCCTTGCAGCGATTGGAGGGTCTCCACCTCCCTGATGCTTGAGCGATGAGCGGTGAAGCCATCCCGGGCTCGCTGGTCGAATATCTTGATGGCGACGTCCTCTCGCGTGAGGGCATGCTTGCAGGCCCACACCGTGCCGTATGAGCCAGAGCTCAGCTTCTCGATGCGTTCATAGTGAACGCACCCCGATGCTTGACGGCGATGTATCTCGGCGGCTTCACCGACCGGCCCTGCTGCTGCTGCTGCTGCTGGGGTGCAGGCTGCTGGATGAGCTGGATAGGGTGGTTGGCGGCCAGCTGCTGCTGGATGGGCTGAGCAGGTGGCTCGAGGCGGCGCCTCTGACGAGGGGGACTCTCTTGCTCGTCGCTGGCATCGTCGGGGCGGCCACGACGACGGCTGAAGCAAGACACAAAGAAGCCATTCAGGCTCTCGCGGCTAGCTGTGCCATTTGTGACATTAACATACCCGTGGTGGTCCTGCTTGCATGTCCGTCTGTCGTGTTCACCTGCGTTGGCTTGCACCGGTGGCTGTGGCTTGCGCTGCTGTACTGCGACTGCTGCGGGCACCCAACTGCGCACCAGGGGAGGGGGGGAAGAGCACGGGCCACGCGGGTCGACGCCCCTGGGAGAGAGCACGGCAGCCCTGTGCAGCCAGGCAACGTTGTGTATTCTCTGTGGCCCACCGGTCAACGCGCAGAATCGGCTCAATGTCGTTGTCTCTGAAGGGGGTAGGCGGACGGGCTGGTGGTGAGGGTCCTCGTGGCCGCATCATTTGGTCTCTGAATCCAGCCATATACACAAGCAACGACCACATCTGGTGACCGTGACCTTTGCACGGGCATCAACAGTGTCTTCCCACCTGTTGAAGTGGTCCCACTGAGCTTGATCATGTCGTCCAAATGACGGCGAAATGCCGCGTCTGCAGATTGAGACAGTGGATGAGACAAAACGACACGGCAAGTCAGGCAGCTGCTTCAAGTTGGTCGTCTCTCACCTGTCCATGTCTCCGTAGGCTCGTCAACCACGGCCTGACACACCTGCAGACAGTCACGCAAGGCAGCAGGGAGGGGAAGCTTCCCCTCGGGCTGCCTGACTGTCTCTCTGTGTTCGTGCTCGTCTCAGACAGACAGCTCACGAGGTGTGTTGGCGGACAAGCTTTATTTGACTAGCTGGCTGCGCTAAGGTACCTCACCGAAGCGCTTGATTGAAGCAGGGGGTCCGACGCGATGCGACGAAGTCAGGCTTGATGAGAGAGAAGCAGAACGCTGGTGATTCTCAAGGGCTCAAGACGAAGGCAGTGTGCTTAGAAACGAGCAGATCTGTCTGTTCTTTGAGCGTTTGGAGGGGATTTCCCTTCGGGGCAGCTTCGAGGGCATTTTGACTGCGGCGGGCACCTTCCTTCGATTTAGGGCTGCTTTCGATCCATGGAAAGCTCGCAGCACCCCTACTTTGGGAGAAGGTGCCCTTGGAGTGAAATCAAGATAGGGAGCACCCTTCCGAAGCACCCCGCGGGCAGCTTCTTACCCTTGATCAGTGCAAGCACGCAGATCAAGGGGTGCTTCAGAAACACCCCTACTGACTGCCCTGAAGGACCCTCCGGCCGTGCTTTTCGCCCAGATCTCGTTGCATCTTGTCTTCCCTTGAGCACGTTATCACCTCCTTTCCCTCCTTTCCCTTTTTGTCGGTCGGCTTCCCCGTCCGCCTGCTTGCCTCGGCTGCTGCTGATGTTTGCTCATCTGGCCACTGACTTTGGTAAGTGTTTGCGAGTGTGTGTTCCGTGTGATGACACCGCGACACCTGAGTGTGTCATTGTCTCGTGTGGCCTCCCTTTCTGCACTGTCCTCAGAAAAAACCAGACTGGCGGTGCCGTCCACCACTGCGCCAGACTTTCCAGGCTGGTGACGCACCGCAAGGCGGGTGAGTCACAGCACGATGATAGATACAACTGTGTCATCCCTTGCTGCAGTAGAGGTACCACGGCGACGCAGTCACCGTTTCACGATTCACCGTTTACGGGTCGAAATCGACCTTGCACGCCGGCCTCGATTCGAGCTCCAACCACCGTCAGGCTCAATTGCAGCGCTGCATGTATTTCATCTGCAGTGTGCGCTCAGATCTGTTGAGTTGATCTGTCCATTCCGTGTCAGTTGCATTGCCTTGATTGTCCATCGATCGACATCAACCACTGACACACTCGCTCTTTCTGCTGCCATGGCAGCTGTCGCATGTGTGTGATGTGTGCCACTGCGGGCGACTGGAGGCACAGTACCTGAGCCACACTCCAATCGGCCCGCAGCGACACCCACATCTCATGCACGTGACAGCCGTGGCTGCAGAAAGGTGCCTGTCTTGAAATCACTCGAGTGAGTGCCTTGCCCGTGTAATAAAATGACTGGAAAATCACTGATGAATCACCGACGGACAAAAATCACACATCAGAATCACCTTCCCAAGCGGCCAACCTGCAGCCAGACGGCCTAACAGAGGCACTGCCACGAAGAGAAATAGCCCGCCCTCCCGCCCTGCTCGGGCCGTCACATTATAAAAGAGAGCGAGCAAGCATCCTTGCCGCCCTCGCAGACACACGCAAGACACGTACGACATGTATGTCGACACGCACATGTGGAAAGATTCTCTGCTTTGCTTTGCTCTGCTTTGCTGCAGCAGAGTCGGTGTGGCAGTGGCCATTCATGGATGGCCATCGGGATACTTTACAGGTGGGTGACACTGAGGAAAGACAGGCAGGTGCATCGCATTCCAGAGGCCAGTCAATGCGCCAAGAAAAATGAGCAGAAGAAATGACATATCATAGTGAGGCAGTGAGTACGCAGGCATGTCACATCAGGCAGCATGTACGATGGAATGTATGTGTGAGCCCTGGCCCACACCGTACACTAGCCAACACCACACTCGTACACACGCACATGCACACGAACACCCGTGCACATCACACTCACAGGCAGACACATAGACGCTGATAGACACGTGTGCATGCCGCCCCTCCCCGCTCCCCTGCCTCCCTGCCCCCCCCAATCATCCGTGTGTATCTCATGGGCGGATCATGGCCTCGTCCTGCCGATGACGCACCCTCTGCATCGGCGTGCTGCGTTTCGTGTGGTGGGAGGCCCGTCGGACATGTGCCGAGCAGCCACCGGCTGCTGCAGGGCGAAGAATGGGTGGCGAAGGGCTTGTGACGACGTGAGCCTGGCAGACTGTGGGCAGAGCAACCTGACAGACAGCAGAGGAGCTCATTCGATGAGCTTCATTCACTCACTGCCTCCTGTTTTGTGCTGTCTTACCTGGAGAGTAAGTCCAGCAGCTGGCCATGGCCCCACCCAGGGGTCATGATATCCAACGGCCGGAGGCTCCCGGCTCTGTGTTGCTCGATGCGAGCAAGCTCGATGCGAGCAAGAAGCCGACTGCTGATCTGCTCAGGGGATGATCCGGATGGCGGTGTGACGCGGTAGGGAGAGGAGGTGACGCTGTCCGAGATGATGCCTTGCACGTTGCGCCACTCGTTCGTGTCGGGCACGCCCGTGATCTGGAGGGTCTGGATGAGCATGTGGTCGAGGCTCATTGGGTCGGGGCGGCTGAAGAGGTGGTCGCCCGTGGCGAGGTAGTAGAGGGTCACGCCAAGTGCCCACATGTCCACCTTACTCCTGCACCGAACCACGTTGTCATGACTCATGCCTGGCAAACACAAAGAGGCAATCAGGAGAGAAACGCACACAAACAAACCGATGCCTTAGACACGCACACATCCGTGCCGTGCTTTGGCGTGGTCTGCGTACCTTTCTTGTTCATAATATCCGCTATGAATGCCTCGGGCGGACGATACATGGGCGTACAAATGCCATCCACGTTGAGTCCGGGGCCCCATAGGGCCCCTCCGAAGTCGGCGATGCGGCAGATCAAGTTGCCAATGAGGAGCACGTTCTCGGGCTTGAAGTCCATGTGCGTGATCTGCTTGGTGTGGCAGTGCATCAGGCCCTCCACCAGCTGCCGGCCCACGTAACGCACCTGGTCGATGGGAAGACCGCTGGGCCAGGACCTGCGGACGTAATCGCGAAGCGTCCCGCGGCACAGCTCCATGACCATGAGTTGGGTCAGGTCGACGGGGGCGCCCGGCTCGAGCATGGAGTGATGTATCTTGACGATGTTGTCATGGCCTTGCAGCTCCCTGAGGACCTCCACCTCCTTGATGGTCGAGCGATGAGCGGTGAAGCCATCCCGGGCTCGCTTGTCGAATATCTTGATGGCGACGTCCTCTCGCGTCAGGGCGTGCTTGCAGGCCCACACCGTGCCGTATCCTCCAGCGTTCAGCTTCTCGATGCGCTCATAGTTGGTAAAGGCACCCTGATGCTTGACGGGGATGTATCTCGGCGGCATCACTGACTGATCCTGCTGCTCTGTGGCTGCTGCTGCTGTGGCTGCTGAGCCGGCTGCTGGATTGGATGGTCGGCGGCCACCTGCTGCTGCTGGATGGGCTCGGCGGGCGGCTCCAGGCGACGAATCTGACGGGGACGACCCTCCTGCTCCTGGTCGACATCACGACGCCTGACGCAGAACACATCCGAGTCCAATACGAAGCTGTGTCGCTTGTCTGTGGATACGTACCTGCGGCAATTTGCCCGTCTGGAAGGCCGTGGCATGGGCTGCTGCTCAGCGGCTGCTACGGGCACCTGGCCACTCGGCCCGGTGAGGTGAGGGGGATGGCGTGAGTCACCCACCTCGACGCCCATGTGGTGCGGCGGACTGGGCTGGACGAAGCCGATCGTGATGTTGAGGGCGATACTGGTGTCCATGGCGACTCTCGTGGCGATGCTGTCGAGGGCGTCTGTGGAAACAGGCACACGTGTTGCGCTGAGACACAACAGACACAAGGCCACAACACCTGCATCGACTGCTGATCTGCCTTTCGTCTGTCGCCCCACCCACTTACCTGTGGGTGATGTGCTTCCAGATGAGCGTCTCGCTGTTCTCGGGTCACGATACACCTATAGATGGTCACACAAGGCAGTAGGGAAGCAGCACGAACGCCGACAGACCGAGCTCTCCTCAGCCTGCGTTGTGTCGGATCCCCCCTAGTATAGTGGGAGTACGGCTACGGTACGGACAGCCACACCTTACGTGTACTGACAGACAGACAAGCTGTATCCCCGCGCCGACACGTGCCTGACTTACCTGGCGGCGCTTTGAGAGTCTGCAACTGGCTGATACGCGTATGGATACGATGAGTGCCTGTCTGAGGGTCGAGAAAAGTGTGGTAAGGGTGTGATGGTGGGCGGGTGGATAGTGGAGGTGTCGAACAGCGACCACCAGGTGAGATCTGGAGTGCGGTGATGGAGGGAAGCAAGGTGGTGACAGATCTCCCCTTGGGGGTCGCGGGTATGACGAACTGCTTGCTGGGGGTGAAGAGAACGAGGCGAAAAAGAGAACGAGGCGAAAACACTGTCAAACGGAGGGGAGAAAGATTCTAGCATTTACGCGTCTTGTTTAACGAAGGGTTGCCCTACTCTCTCTCTCAGATAGCAGCCCAGAAACTCACCGCTCCCTCTGCTTGCTGCCTGACCAGGATCTGCTGTGAGCGATAAGAGCCGGACATCCGTCTTCGCCATCACGTGCAATGGCGGCACCGTCGCGAGTGTTGGACAAGTGGGACAAGATGTGCAGGTGAGGACGGACGGTGTCACACAGGGGATGGACCTGCAGCTGGAATACCGCTGCCATTTGCCTGCCTGCCCTCGTTTGCTCTGTGTATGGCTGGCTGCAGGGACGAGCTGGGGGATGAGCGGAAGGATCCGAAGGGGTCTGTCGTGACCGACGTCGACGTGGGCGGCGTCAAGGCCAAGAACGTCACCGTGACAGACCCCAAAGACATCTCGTCCGTCGTGCAACAGATCCAGGAACATACCAACAAGCAAAAGGTCAGTCAGTCAGCCAACGACGCGCTCTTGAGTGAGTGTTGGCTGCCTGTCCTGAACGTCGATTACATGGGGTGCGTCTGGTGCAGTTGGCGGAGCGCAAGGCTCTCGAGGCAGCAGACGCCAAGCGGCCCAACGAGCACATGTGGGGATACCAGGTGCGTCTGCACAGCCGACATACACAGCAGATACAGCGTGGCGTGGTTGATTCCCCTCCGTTGCCATACAGGTGTTTGGCGCTGGTGAGCCTCACGCCAACGGCCGCTATGTCCGCTCCGAGCACATGGTGGGGGACTGTCCGAGCTACATCCACACTGAGCACGGCGACGTCATGATTGCAAGACAGGTGAGCCACACACAGGGACCATGCAGCTATCAGGGACGCCATGTGAAGCGCTTTTTCCGTGGCTGACGATGCCATGGTCAGAATGTCGGGTGGGTGCTTGGCGAGTTGAGGCCTCCGAGACCGCTGTACGGCTACCAGACTGAGGACAAGTCCATCCCGCTGCTGCCCCGATGGCAGGCATTCGAGGGCAGGAAACCGATGCCCCAGTGCAGGTACATCCGGTGTGAGGACCGTGCGGCAGAGCTGAAGCAAGAGGGCAACGAGGCCATGAAGAAACAGCGGTACGACCAGGCAGAGGAGAAATATACCCAGGTGGGGGAAAAGGGGGACGACGGCAGATAGCATATGGGTCAATGGCACAAATCACGTACATATGGGATGATGTGCCTGGCTGCAGGCGCTGCAACTGGACCCGCTGAGTGACGAGATGCGGGTCGTTCTCTACTCCAACAGGTGGGTGGGCCGGCGGGGCAGACACCCACACCGACCCACGTACAGGCAGCTACATACACGGATGCACTTTGTTTGTCGCTGTCTCAGGTCCCAGTTGTATCTGAAGCAGCGTCAGTGGGAGGAGGCGCTCTCCGATGCATCGCGCGCACTGGACATCGACCCGCAGCACGAGAAGAGCCTCCTGCGAAAAGCAAAGGCAGCTGAGAAACTCGAAAGGTGAGAATTCGCCGACAAAGACACAGACATGGCCATCTTAAGTGGGCCGTCATGCCCCTGTCATCTGTCTGTCTGTCGCTTAGGTACGAGGTGGCCGTGTCGTCTTTGCAGCAGTTGTTGAAGCACCACCCCGACAACAGCGAGGCCCTGACCCTCAAGCAGGAGACCGAGGCGCTTCTCAAGCTGCAGCCACGTGCCAAGGCGGACATCCCGCCCGAGGAGGCCGAGACCAGCGACGAGGCACCACCACATAAGGCAGAGGGGGCGAGGGAGGACGAGGAATCAAAGACGCAGAAGGCCGCTCCAAAGCGCCTCGTGGAAGCCAGCGAGGTCGTTGAGGTAAGCATGGATGAGTGAAGTGCAGAGCGTGTGTACCCATGTGACAGATAACATGTGAATGTGTGCTTTCGTCCCGTCCGTGGATCGGATTAGGAGTTGGATACTGCGTTGAGGGAGGTGGTCGACGGCCAGGCAAACACGCCCGATGACCCCGCCAGGAGGCGGAGGCTCACCATCATACACGTGCGACCCACCACACAAGACGCCATGCCACGTGTGTTGCCACCTCTCTCTGTGTATATGCTGTTGCCGTGCGCGAGCAGGCCAAGCTGAAGGATCTGCAACGGGTGCTGCGCACAGACGATCGAGAGAAGCTGCAGGAGATCCAGGCGTTGCTCCGCGCCCGAGGGCGGCTGCCCGACCTCAGCAAGGCCCTCAGCACCCGTGGTCTCGAGGGCTGCCGGCCGTCAGTCCTCTGCTGCCTGGAGCGGGCCTGCAAGGCCAACCTGCCCAACGCCCTGCAGCTCATCCGTGCTGGTGTGGTGCAGCAGGTCGTCGATGTCATCAGCAGCACGTCTGACGGGTCAGACGGAAAGGCGAGCAGAGGCCAAGACTGCCGTCCACTCATCTGTGGTGCTTGTTGTTCTGGTGATCAGGTATCTGTTGAAGGCTGCGATTGCCCTGCTGGTGCAGCTGTTTCAGACCGAGACGGCCAGCAAGAGCAAGACTGAGGGCCCCGGCTCCGAGCTGATCCTCGAGTGCTTAAAGAAGCACCCCAAGGCCAGCAAGGTGCTCGTATCCCTCTCGGAGATCGCCGCGGCTGACAAACCTGCCGATGTAAGCAGACAAGAGCAAACACACGGACGGTGTTCGGTTCGATCACATGATTGGGTTGATGTTTGTGTGCAGGTGGAGGTTGCGTCATCGTCCAAGGAGGACTTCAGGTCGCTCCAGAGTGAGATCCGTGACCTCACCGACGTCCTCTGCAAGTCATTTGACCTCCATGAGGGCGACCTCTCGCCATCACTGGCACAGTTCGTGCTGCGCATGATGGTCGGCTGCGGCGTCGGGTTCGCCGAGTCTCGTGACGACGACACGGTGAGCGGGAATGGCTCCATACACGAAGTCATGTATCTTTTCACTGTTTATGCCGTCATGTGTGGCCCCTCAGGTGTCCCATGGCCTGAAGCTGCTCGAGTGGAGCGCCAAGTGCCCCTCTCGTCGTCGGAGCTGCGGCGGTCGGCTGCTGGCGGACATTCCCGCTCTCAGCGATGTGGTGGCCCACAAGCTCAGCAAGTGCGAGCAGCTCATCTCATTCATCGTTGAACGAGACCTCGTCGATATGGCGACTGGGAAGGCCGTGACTGACGGAGAGGGGGAGGGAGAGGGAGAGGGAGGGACAGAGTCGAAGCCAGAGGGTGGTGCTGGTGGTGATGAAAAGGGCCAGCCGGGCGACAAGGATGGTCCCAAGATGACGTTCTTCGACATCCCCAGAATGGCCCCCAATGACGGATTCCACATCGCCAGGATCCTCGAGGTGAGAAGCGAGAGGGGCGACCACACGCCACCTGTCCCCCTACCTACATGCCGTGTTTGTTGCGCCCATCAGGTGCTTGCGAGTGTGACGGATGAGTTCTCGACCTTCGAAGGCTCCACCGACAAGAAGGCTCCCCTGATTGAGCTGGCTGGCCGGGCGGCACTGAGGAAAGTGGCCAAGAACTTCCGCGTCAGCACCGAGGGCTCCAACGACCTCATGACCCTCCTCTGCCTGCTGCACGCCCCATTGCCCATCGTAGGCGCCACACGTGCAATGAAATCACAGAAGAGCAACACACGTTGATATGTGTGTGGTTTGGTGTGTTCAGGGCCTGCCTGCGCTGCGTCTTGTGGCTGCTTTGGCTGAGAGTGACGGCTTCGTGTCGCTCTTCATCGGCGAGACGGGCAACTTCCGGATGCTGCTCGGCCTGCCCTTCCCGCCCGCCCAGCCAGTGCGCAGCTACATCGACGAGAAGCTCACCGACGCCAAGTACCGCACTGAGCGAGAGGCGGCGGCCCGGCTCCTGGCGTCATGTGCCGACACAGACGGATTCGCGGTATGACAGACAGACAGATAAACATTCCCACATGGCCACAGAGAACACACCTGCTTGTGTGCTGTCAGCTGACGCTCGAGAAGCGAGATGGCGAGGCAGCGACGGCTGTCAAGTGTTTGATGAAGTGGCTGCAGCCCAAGCTGGCACCGACACAGGAGATGGTGCAGAACGTCGGCAAGACACTCACGGTAAGGCCTTTCATGCGACACACAATGGGCATGGCGACGACACATGTGGCTGGCTTGTTGGCTATTTGTGTGCAGTATGTTCTCCGAGTGAAGCCGGATGCTGCCTGTGAGGTGGATGAGAGGATTCTGGAGACGAAGCTGGTCCCAGAATACATCCACTCACCACGTCAGAGGTGACCAACACACACACACACACACACCCCTTTCGACACTCACGCCCTGCTGCTGCTTCTTCCTCTCTCTCTCTGTGTGGTCTTGGCAGTCCGCTGCACGACACCTTTGACCTCCTGATGCGGTCGTGTGTCCTCAACAAACCGCTGCTCGAAAGATTCATCGAGTCGCTCAGACAGAGGTGAGGGAGAAGAGCGGGCGGCCGATTGAGGAAATGGCTGACTGCTGTCGTTGGGTGGGTGTTCCATGCGTGCAGGGACCGCGAGAATCTGCTGAATCAGCTGCTCAGCTTGCTGCAAATGGACCAGGAGATCAGGGAGCAGCGCACCAAGCCCAGCACCGACAAGCCTCCTGCTGCTGCTCCCGGGCCTGCTCCTGCACCTAATGGCGGCTCCCAATGACTGGTGCATTAGACCGCATGCTCTCGGCCGTCGGTACTGTGCATGCTGGTTGAGTGTTGTGTGAGGCGTGGGTCAAGCGGCGTCTGTGCGACAGCTGTCGTGTGTCTGTCGCTCGAGCAAAGGCCGGTGGCAGGCGATATGGCGCCTGCTGCCAAACACGCATGTGGGCCGGCCATGTAGAGCACTCGCTGCATGCATTGCCGGTGACAGGTTGGGTGTGTGGTTTGTGTCTACGGATTTGGGTGGCCTGTGGCTGGTTGGGTAGCCGAGGTTGGTTGGTTGTGTCGTGTTGTGTTGTGTCGTGTTGTGTCGTGTTGTGTCGTGTTGTGTTGTGGTGTTGTTAGAGGTCCAGGGCGCTTCCGCGCACACACTGTTCTGACGTGCATACTGCATGGATGGATCCGTGACCAAATTAAGGTGTGAGGGCGACGGTCTGTCCTGCCTTGCCCAGCAAGAAAATTCAATTCAAGGATCCCATCGTTTCCGTAAATGTGGGTAAGCTTTTCTGGCGAGGAATGTAAATGTCGGTACGTAGCGCACATGGAGCAGGGCTTTCACCTCTGTACAAACTCCAGGATAGCATGCAGCAGCGTGTCGGTCATGTACGCACGGCAAAAATAATCGTCGTCGATAGGCAGCTGGTCAGGCAGACAGGCCTCACACACACACACACACACAGCGGCGGTCAAAGCCGGCCAGCAATGGAGGGCAACACACCAAG